AGCCATTGTTTATGTATGTATATGGTATGAATATACAAGTCACATGTGATAAGAAGATGAGAGTCACTTTCATACCACACCCTTTTTATCATCCAGTTCTTCACCAGGTTCTTTAAAATTAAAATGCAATTACTTTTACCTCTATTTATCCTGAAGCATAAAGAAGACACAAAGAATATCTTGGGGCAATTAGCACACATGCTTTTCCATTACAAATCAACCAGTGCTCACTCTGTGAAGATTTGATTTAGAAATTTTGTTGAAGACAATTCAGTTGAGCTTCCATTTTTTTTTCTTAAACTGAATCATCAGAGTTGAATGTACATTTCTCTAAACTAAATTTCAGTTTGAATCAATTCATATTATTTTAAGTCAGAATATTGTGTTGAACTGAGAAAAATCAGCTATATGAATCAAACTGATGAGGGATGAGTAACAGAAGAATATAAAGTACAAACTACTTATTCAAGTAGAACCTCATCCCTTGTGAGTTACCTTTGGTTCTGAAATCATAAAAACTTCATGCCAAAAGGAAATAAAATAAATAAAATAAAATACACTGCTAACTCTATCCTCTGTATTTTCCAATGTGTCAGATGATTTATAAAAAAAATATATGGGAAGTTACTATGAATGGAAGCATTCCAGCTGCAAAGCCAGAAGCCTCTATTTCATTTAAAAATCCCTGCAACCGTGGAAGTGAAATCATAGTGCACTGACAATTTTGAAACCACCCATTTATATCAATAGTTCTAATTATAGAGATAAAGTATATGAGTGAAATTAAATCTAGACAAGATATTGAGAGCTGTTACTAAATAGCTCACTGGACTAAGGGATAGTATTCACATTATTTTGGAATGGGCTGCTCTCTCTTTGGATTAGGCATAAATAATTTTAAGCCCCCCAAAATCATTCACTGAGATGGGCGATTGTAGAAAACATACAAACAAAACACTCAGTTCTCTATCGTATCCAACATGGTGAAATTAGAGATTTCCTGAGCCTATCCTAAAATGGTACAAAACCCTCAAGGAAGTACCCTAGTATTGCTCAATAGCTATGCTCAAAAGTTTCCAAAATATCTCCCTTGCCCTCCCCTCCCCCCTTCCATTTTATTATTTTAGTAAATCACTCAAGGCTGTGAACATACATAATAGCCCTTCCTGGTCCTAGTTTCTCACAGCAACTACCTTGTGAGGTGAGTTGGGCTGAAAGAGGGGAAGCAACTACATGCCAATCCATATGCAGACCCTTTCCCCCCTTAAAAAGATGTCTTCAAAGCTTAAATGTGGAGCATGATGTATACCAAGACCAGAAATCAAGCAATACTCTCACTGGTAAATTAGAAAAAAAACAGGATTTGTTTCTTCAGCCTATTATTCGTCACTTCACAGTGATATTTCTCAAAAACATTTCCTTAATATTCGTCTGTCAGATATTTTGTTATTTTGTTCAGAGCCCTTATTTCTGCATTCAGGTTCAACCGGTACTCAAATTCTTAGCAGAAAAGTAAGAGTGTCTTCTATAATATTCACAGCCTCCACCTATAAATTCCTCACCCCTCTCTTGTAGAACAATTGCCAAATTGTTTTGAGATGTTAACCCACGTAAATTAGCTCCAGCTATCCAGTGTTCGATCTGATTCTTTTCTGGCTGTTGGGTTGCATGCAGATGTGTGATGTCTTACCACCTACATATTATATTACTTTCATCTCCTCTTTCATCTTAATTGACTGGAGTCTCTCAGATCTATGGTGTGGGCAGGACAACTAAACTTTCTTTTTCTAATACAGGAACAATTTCTGAACACTGTATAATTTATTTCTAGTTCAGGAAAAATGTACTAAATATGCCCACCTCTTCATGTGCCTATGACTCAGCCACAATAAGGATACAGTAGAGAGTTGTTAATCTCCTTCAGCTGATTTTCCTCACCAAGTCCCAATCTTTTCCAGTCTGTGGCCCACCATNCATACACTTTATATTTTCAAATGTGCAGCTAAAAATGTAAAATGTGAAGTCAATCAATGAGTGTGTCTAAGAATGCTTGCAATGAGAATTTTGTCCCGATCTAAGGAAACATTTTCCAACCAGGAGGAAAATCAAATAAAGGCACTCAGGGAGCCTGATGCAAGACCCAAACCACAGCATCCAGTCCATACGCTTGATCCCAGTCTCAGTGAGTTCAACCTGCAACCGGAATTCAGTCCATTCAGCCCAATCCTGCGACCTCTGTGTGCATTTCAGAGAGCAAGGAGTGCTCAGCCACCAGAAGCCGCTTGATATAAATTGCTAAAAGTGACCTGGTATTGAGAATCATCTTAGCAAAGACTAGATGTTTCCCTTGACTCAAAGTCCATTCTCGGTGCAGAACAAGACTCAGCTGTAGCCCAATCATGCATCCTTTCTTTCTAATTTTTAATTAGGAAATCTCAAAAACTTCAGCTCCTATCTAAACTAGGCAACTAACATTGTCTTGCCCTTGGAATGTGTCAAGATGTAGCATGAAGAGCCATAAGGTAGAGGTATCTTCGGGAAAAATCAAGCAACCTTCCTTTTGGGGGACACATTTGGTGACAAATCCGGATTTGTTGCTAGTTTTCCTGTGTGTTGTTTTTTCCCATGTTCCTCACTGGGTAGAAGGCTAATGGTTGCTATGAATAGGATTTTTCATAATTACTTGGACATGGCCAGGATGTTGAAGGAGCCATTAATATGTGATAAATGCTATTGTTCCTGGTATTATATGGTTCTTTGCTTATTTTTATGTATTTTTATGTTTTTAATTCTTGCTAGCCACCCAAGTAAATAATTCCCCATTAAATTTCAGTGACGATGTTCTTTGTGACATGTGGATTTTAAAATCTATTCCTAATGGTGTGGAGCAATCCAGAAAATGTGAAGGGAAGTAGGAATGATTAACCTTTTGTATGAAAAACAACACAAAAACCAAAGGAAGATCACAATGCAGGCCTAGGAGAACTGGTGTTCGCCAGATGTTTTAAATTACACCATTTACAGTCTCCAAGTACTGGCAAGCTTTGTGAGATTTTGAAACTAGTAACTCAACACATCTTCATTATTAGACTGCTTCTTCACATGTAAAGATGAAAATATACAAAATGTATACAAAATGGCACCAAAATCTATAGTTATAGTAAAATACATCACTTGGAAAACTAAACTAGTTTAAACCTTGGTTAAACCTTTCCACCTGGATTCTTATTTCAAAAGGGATTAGTCAAAGGTTGGTCTAAATTTTCAGGCAAAATTCATAACTTCCCAGTTCTCCTTCAGCAAAGTGTCCCACCTGAATGCATTTTTCAGCTAGATATAAGGTAGTGTTTGCCTCCTTGTGGAAACATAGCTATAAAGTAATTTCCATNTGGTGAAAAAATAATGTGGAGAATTAAAAACCGGAAGCCCAGCAACTTCAGCTTAAGCCCTTGTGTTGGTGTGCAAAACACAGGATCACTTCAGTTCAGCTGGTATGTATCAGACTAACTCACCCTAATACTTCTCCACCATTACTGGATCTGCAAAATGTCCTTCAAGAATAACTTTTCTAATATGAACTGCACCCTATTGGGGAAGGTGATCTTTTGACTTATTATTTTCCAGAGAAAAATCATCCATTTTAGCTGGGAATTGTAATTGGCTGGGAGAATGACTGACAATATAATTTAGGATTTCTTTGAACTTGTGGATCATTATGCTATGCTTTACCATTTTTACCATCATGCTATAGATTCGATCAGAACTTATGCCCATGTCCAGTCACATATTCTCCTTGTTTTCATCCACATTATTTTAGATGTCTCTTTTGTCATTTCACTTCCCTCAGCTCCTCAATATACTAAAGAATACTCCTCGTTTAGCAAATGAGGAGAGGCCACTCTCTATCATCCAGAGGTTGTAGTTCCTCAATATCTTCAGGGAACTTCCCAACATCCAAAACCAAGTCAACCATCATTTTAATCAGGGGTCTTCAAACTTGGCCCTTTTATGACTTGTGGACTGGCTGAGGCACGCTGGCTGAGGAATTGTGGGAGTTGAAGTCCACAAGTCATAAAAGGGCCAAGTTTGAAGACCCCTGATTTTAATGCTCCTGATATAATGTTCCTCTAAGACATTGGAAAAAATTAAAATGGTATTTGTAGTACAGCATTAGGCCAAGTTTATTTATTTATTTATTTAGGTGGGATAGACAGCTGTGTTCTTGACAGCAGTGCAGAGATGACCACTTCCTCTTTCACTTCCTAGAATACATCAAAGTGACAGTCTAAGAAAAGATAACAGTCAGTGGTTATCTTTATCATTTCATTATGCACTCTTTGGTGCATTTGTGAGTGTGTGTGTGTGTGTGTGTGTGTGTGAGAGAGAGAGAGAGAGAGAGAGAGAGCGATGGTCTTGAAAATAGTTCAGTCCAACACATAAACTAAGCAGAAAAATCTGAGGAACATTACTTATGGTACCATACCGACATTGCCAATGAGTTCAGTTTGCTGTGGATTACTTGGTCTGGATTTGGCTTCTTAGAGATGTAAGGCATGAACAGCTTGAGCTGCAAAGCAAGAAAGTATGATTTTATTAAGGGCTTTATTGGCTGTACAAAGCCTAGAGATCTGCTGTCTGCCAGCACCCTGCAGTGGAAAACTCAGGCTGTTGCTGTTCTCGTTTGCGGCTCCTTCTCCTTCCTTTTACCTTGAATAAATGGCTGCAGTCTGAAGGCTTGCAAGGATGCCAGCTGGAATGCATTCCGTTCCTTTTTAACTTGTTAGACATGCAAGACAAGTTTACAGTTTGCTAGTCTGTGATATTTACAGTTCTCCTGAAAGCCTGCCCTGCACCCCCCTTTGGCAGATAATGACAAAGTCTGGACTTTAGAGTTCAAAACTGGTGCCAGTAGAGAGAAACTTACTCTCTTTTTCCATATCCTGCCTTAATAAAGAGAGCGAGGTCCACTGTTGAATTTTGTCTATACAGAAGTGAAGTCCACAAGGCATCCATTTAATTACTGAGGTCATTCTTGCTTAGTTACAGGAGCTTCCATTGAAATATTTCAAACTTAGAGTGTCTCATAATATTTGTTAGAAGTAAGAAAAGGAATTGATTAATTTACCAAGGCTACAAAGTGAACAGTTGTTATAAAGAGACAAGAATTATAAAAATGCAAAAAACATGGCATAATATAATACCATACCAGGCCAATACAAATTCCTTCTGTATTTCATAAGACAGCAAATTGAAACAGGAAGGAAGGAAGGCAATGACGGTGATAAGGTGTCCATAAGTTCTGTGAAGAGAGACTTAAAGAAACAAGGTGATTTTAGCCTAGAGAAAAAGGACTGAAAAGAGATATAATAGTACTTTTCAAGTATCCAAAGGCATGTTACACACACACACACACACACACACACAGAGAGAGAGAGAGAGAGACAGAGAGAGAGAGAGAGACAGAGAGAGAGAGAGAGAGACAGAGAGAGAGACAAAATACTAAGATCAACCAGTGTTTGTTGAGTCATATTGTCAGATGTGGAATAATGGTGTTAAATTTCAGAAAGGTAGATTCTAGTTGAATGTTTGGAAAAAGTCTTTAACAATTCTTCAATTGAAGAATTACAGTAATTCAATAGTAGAATTAATTACCAGAGGAAGTGGGGTTTTTTTGTCCCCCATGGGATCCTTTAACAAGGGGACATAATTGAAAAAGTTTCAGAGATGCTTTCCTGTGGAGATTTGCACTCTCAATTCCCAAAGTGGAATTGATGGTCTAAATTTCCTGCCTCAATGCTACCATAATATGATGTAGTAACTGTGGGGAACTTATGGTCCTCCTAATGTGATTCCAATGCCTACCAAACAAAGATTATGATTAGAAATGCTGAAATTGCAGTTCAGCAACTTCTGGAGGCCTACAAGTTCCCACTCTTAATAAACAAAGTAGGGTAGAGAAAAAGTTGGTTGTAATACAGTTACACTGAGACTAATGTAAGATATTATAATTTCATTTATATATTTTTTAAAAAGTGCAAGTAATTTAGTTTGAATTCTACCTACAATTATTAATAACATCTGATTTGTAGAATCATATATTAGAACTTTTAAGGGGTACTTTCCAAAGACGAAGTGGTGCTGAATCACAGGTTATTTTGTGTGGATCAACTCTGGCTGAATTTGCTACTCTGTATGTGAGATAAAGACAAAGAAAAGGAAAAAGAAAGCTGTCAAACCCAGAGAGCTAGTAGGATTGTTACATAAAATTTGTCATGACTCAGTCATGATGGAGGAGACCCAGTTACAAGCATTCAATTAGGTCATTTAGTTACATACTTTTTTGGCCCACAGTTCATTTTTTTAATATTGTTTTTTTCATCATCTGCCATGAGAAATACTAAAAAACCCAAAAGATAACTTTCTTTTTAGTTCATCCAAATAAAAAGAATCATGCTCCTCTGAACTGGACAACAAATTAATTTCAGAGTACAACTGATGAAAGTTGGCTAGGAAGGCGCATATGTACCCCCTCTGTGCTTTTGTAGAAAGTATATCATCTATAGTTAAGAGACCTCCTTGGGAGTAAATGTACAATGTAATCTTATGCATGTCTAGTGAAAATTATGCCACACTGAGTTCAATTATATTTAAGGTGTAATTACCCCAGAGAATTCCTAGCCATATCAATCAAAAAACATTTTGCAGTCTATTATTTATTTGACGACCCAATTTCCAAACAATTCTGGGTAGCTTACAACTAAAAACCAATTTATTAAAAGAAAAAATACAACAGATGAGAAGAACAATAAAAAACCAAACTAAATTAAACCAAACAAACCAAAATGGAAAAGAAGTCTTCACAAACATGTCTCCAAGGCCTAAGAGGACAACCAAGACTTCAACAATTTCCTGAAAGGCATATGTAATATGTTAAGCATATTTAATATGTTAAGAAAAGAGAAAAAAAAACATGAACTGTTTCTTGAGTGGAAAACATCCTCTAGAACTCTCCCATCCCCAGCTTAACATTTATTGTCAGTATATTGTGAGATTAAGGAGTTTTCATAATATCTTCTGACTGCTACTTCATGTTTGTGGATGTGTCCTCTCTGTTTTCTGCCTATTGCCCCACATAGTTCAACCACAAGTTCAACTACAGTTTCAGAACAAGTCAGATCCATAATTCCTACAGCAGGGCACTTAGATGAATCAGCCGTTAACAAATAACAGATAATTGAGATAAGTTCCATCTATGAGCCATTCAAGAAAGAAAGAAAGAAAGAAAGCTAAGATCAAGGAAAGAGATAAATAGACCTAAATATACTCTTCCTCATTGCACCATCTATTAAACAGTACCCAGATAAGCAGGAACCAGCACTAGATAAATATGAACAATCAAAGAAGAAACAATACCCCACCCAAAAAGCAATCAAGGAAATAATACCCCAATCAGAGTTGGTAGGACAAGTTCTCACATATAAACAGCCAGAAAACAGCACTCCTCCATGCACTGGTGATGTTACCTATCTTGGTAAAAAAAAAAACATCTGCAGGAAGAGAAGCAAGCTCAGGGAACACCAAGAACCCAACAACACAATCCTCCCTTACCATTTCTATTGGCAGCATGACACAACATATTAAGTGAAAACCAGACCACATTCTGGCTTAGTGCAATGCACTAACACACACACTCTCTCCCCCTCACACTCTCTCTCATTTTATTATCATAATATATGTGAACAGAACAATGCAATATGTGGCTTAGAAGAAAGATAGGAAAAAAGTAGAATAAAAATATATTTTTTTCAGACTGACTCATATTTAATTGTTCCAACTTGAGGGGGGGGGAAATCATTCAAGTGGGAGGGAATGGTGTTTGTTTGTGCTAGTTTAATATCTTTAGCATGACAAACTTATGCAACGTAACACAGCTGTGAGCCCTTTGTAATTTGGCTGGATGTTATACATTAATGCATGTTCAGTTTAAATGCATAGGACACACTTAAAACATTTATGATCCAGACAAATTAGAGACAGGATAAATTTAGAACTTAGTAGTCCCATGTGCACAATCATATCCTTATTGTAACCATAAGGCAGAAATATTTTCCTGTTGCTCTTTCTGAACACTGACACGTAGAGAGAAAGTGCTCAGCCAAGGAGGTTGGTTGGAGGTCTAGGAAAAAATATAGCTCAAGCTTTTGAGTGGTCTCTGGATACCAAAACCGTCTGATTAGAGCAGACTTCTGAACCTGATTAAACAAAACAAAGTCCCAATTAATTCAGTTGTCTTTCTACCTAGGATTTGGCCAGGTAGATATAGGTAATGCAGATGATTAATTGAAGCAAATTGCAGAATCTCCAGAAAAATCCCATTGCAATTTTGTGATAGGCTTCTTTACCTTGCCTTTCTCTGTCTTCTACCTGGATGAAGATAATCTAAATAGGGAGAAAGACCCCAAAGAGATATTTTCAAAAAGATATTCAATAAAGGTTCAGGTGCTCTTTAAAAGCACTTCCCAGTCTTTCCATTTATGCGGACCAGAGCATCACCACCAAAAGCTTTTGAAGATCCTCTAGCTAGAGTTCAGTAATAAAGCATTTCTAGCATGCATCATGGCAAATGTGTCCCTCTCCCAAATGGAACTGCATTAATTAATCAATGTGTTTAAAAAATAATAATAATATGACTGAAATCTCATGAAATTACTAAGCCCATGGTTTTATGTTCCCACCAGAAATATTAAGAGATTTTGGCTGAGAATATCTAAATCTTGCACGATTTAACATTCTCAAAAGAGTTTGTTCATTAATATGTATATGTCAATTGTCCCATTGGTATATGCAGCAAAGGAAACTCCTGGGACATTATTTTACCAACAGTATAACTTTACTGATAGAACCATACAGGCACAGAAGAAGCGAAGCTAGCTCTGAGGATTTCATGCGAAAAACAGCATAGTTAATTTCCCCATCTGGGCCACCCATTGTCCATTGTCCACCAATCCAACACATTCTTTTTATTTTGGGAAAACAGTCTGTGCCTTTGGAAGGTTCCCATCTCACGGTCTTGAAGTATCAGGATCTTCTCAGTCTGCAAATGGCTCACATGAATTCCTCACCTCCCTTCCAGCTCCCAATACATTCCAAGCATTCTCCTCCATTTCTGTTGTCATGCTGCGAGTGGAGGTGCATTATGAGTCAGCCTTGATAGTCTATAACATTCTCTTTTGCACCAAGAAACCACCTACCATATCTTTCAACCACCAGTGATCTCTGAACCAAACGTTGGGAACCTTTCTCAACCATTCTTAAGTCTGTCAGTTCCCAACAATGGAAGACACCAGGCTACTATATTGATCTTAGATCAAATAGTCCTTACATTGCACAAAGCCCAGATGTATATAGATTGCCATAGCTTGAATGCATATCATGGAAGTCAAAGACTGTTGATGGGAATCTATGCGAATTTGACTGCCAGTAACAGAGTCTTTCTGTACATTGAATCATTTCAAATTTCAAGTTCAAATTAGTGCAAGTTTGGTCAACTCATAGCTGGTAAGCATT